AGGAAAATGAGGTACCTTCGGGGTGTCCTTCGAACCAACGAAGGATCCTTAAGGACATTTCGGCTATTCCCATCGAGCCAAGAGTAATGGCCTTTTTCCAACGTAATCCCTTTTCCACTCAACCCTTACGAAGAAAACTGGCGGAAAACAGCCTAAAGCTTGCAGTTACCACCAGCAAGTATAGATGCCGTCCGTAGTATCGCAGTCTCATAGAAGAGAAATTGCGCTAACATAGAGCAGGGTTTCCCAACCCAGGGGGTCGCGACGACCCCTGATCATGATCATATTTGGGGTCGCGAACCGGCAACTAAATGCCTAGTTATGTTTTTCTTTGCAATTTTAGCGTAGAGGTGGGGGACCCTGTCGAATTTCGTCCAGTGCTTGTGGTCCTAAAAGCTATGATCTAGACTTTTGGGATCACGCGAGAAAAAGGTTGGGAAGCCCTGACATACTGTAGAGTGAAGGCTCTAAAGATTCGGGAGCCGTTTCAGGTATGAAGGTCTCGCTCCTCTCATGCGACAGGGGCCGCCTGAAGGATTAAAGAGTAGTTGGCAGCGACTTAAGCTCCGGGGAACACGCAAGGGATCAGGCCTGCAATCGACCGTGCCGGTCGTGTGCGTCGGGCATTTTTCTTCATCCTTCTTCACTTCTCGCCTGTGCTTTTCTCCTTAGCGTTTCCGTAGACCTCTCGTGGTTTAGTCTCTAGAGGGCAAACGCTCGAAGACTGTGCTCGCGAGGAGCTCTCCCGCTATCGATGCGACGACCGTCGCGGACTCCATGACCCCATCTGCTCGTCGCATCCAAACGCAACGCATGGAGTCATGAGGGCGGGATGTCATCCAGGGCAGCTAACGCGTGGCTTTTATCAAGCGCTGAGGGGAGCAGGGAGGAGGGGTGACATCACCGTCCGCGATCACGTGATCGCTCTGTGAAGCATCTGCATTTATTCTCAAGCGTTGCGTGCCGACCTTTCTGCGTCTTCATGCCAATAGCATGAAATTGGAAGGGAAAGGAAATCATGGGCTCAGGGGGATTGGAATACGTCGCGAGGATTCTGACGCCTGTTCCCGGAAGATTTTGGGTGACATGCACCAGATTCATTTAACTTGAAACTGATTCGTTTTCATAACAGGCGTCTATGGGAATAAGTTTATCTCTTTTAAATTGATTCCCATAGGGCACCATTGAGAGATCAGATTAGTTTAGCTTAAACGGATTCGGTGCATGTCACCCTTCGATGAATTTCGTATGGACTCTGTTCGGTACGAAGAAGCGATTGTATCATACCTAGGATTGCAACTGATTTCGGGACACCTTTTAGATGCTCTATTGGACCTTGGGGTTTGGCCTTCGGCTGGCTACATTCAAAATATCTGCACATTCACTTTTCAATCAGATGTAATTTTTCCAGAGAGAAAGTGCAGGACGGAGGTTGTAGGATCAAGGCGGATCGATACCCTCACTTAACCGCGGTCATCGATATTTTTTGTAGCGCAAGAGAAAAAGGAAGGATCGAGCGCCGGAAATTGAGCGTCAGACATTCATCTCATCCCCGACGGATGAAAGAAGTACGGCACGAACCTCAGGCTGCAATCTCCTGACTGCCTTTTGCAATCAGGAAACGGCAGGAGATTGTCGCCGGATTGCCAGCAGATGATCTTCATCCGCGATCCGGCTTAGACGACGATTGGAATTTCGCCGGTCGACCTTGCATCGGCGGCGAGGCACTTGGGCCCCAATCGCTGAGGCCTCAGGCATCCGGTGCCTCAAACAGACCGCGACTGATATCTCGTGACCGTTTTTTTCCTCCCGTCCGACTCCTTGGACTGGACGGAAAAATCCTTCGAGCGTCTGCGCGGTTTCCCTCCTTTTCTTAAACCCACGGCGCTCCATAACGAGCCATCGGATAACTTGCGATTTTCACCATTTATCCAACCCTTTCGAAGAGCCTTCGGCTACATGGAGATGGGAACGAGAGAGACATGCGCAATGGATTCCACGCCGCCATCCCCTTTGATCTCAGTTGTGTGTACAAAGCGGTCAGGTGAAGGTCACCCGAGGACACTCCTCTAATCACACGCAGCAACCGAACGGGAGGGAGGGAGGGAGCTGGGAAAATAACGGTGCAGCACGTCCCAACCGCGAAGTCCCGTCTGACCAGGGTCACCGTTCTGGAAGGGAAACTGTGAAGTCTACTGACGGTCGTCTGCGGTGCTGGTAATTTGCAGAACTGGAAGAACGATCCGCGTACTCCAAAATTTCAAGAATGGAACCGTGACGAACCGTGAAGAAATCGACAATCACCGGAGGGATGAGATATACTTTTAAGGATAAAAATGTATATCTACCTATGATACTTGTAACTTAACACGAGCAAGAATCGGACTCTAAAGTACCCCTATTCTAACTCACACGCAACCAAGATCAGCACAGGCACATCCAATGACCGTGAAAAGCCAAACAGACTAGACAGGTATACCTGTAGAAGCGGGACAGGCGACCTTGGGCCTTCCTACCCAGCACAGCCGAGCAAGTTTTCCCTTACACTCGAGTAGTTTCAAGCTGTTTTCACCCTCCCTTTCCACTCTCCGTCCCAATCCGTCCGTATTGAAAAGTGTCGTGTAATATTTTTTATTAAAAAATAAAATGTGCATCCTCTTTTTGTCTGCTGTCAGTGCGATTGTCTTAGATGAAAGGGTAGAGTCGGGTGAGTAGAAAGGGGATCATTCACACAGCAGCGGGCGGGGGCTTTGTTTTCCGGTATCTAGTCGGGAAGCCATGACTTCGACTCATTATCGAAGAGACTCGCCCGCATGCTGATCGGTGTGGAGTGAGGCTCGTTTTGGTTATCCGACTCTCTCCCCTCGTATAACCCACGCGTATCTGTAATATATTACTTTCTTCTGTAGAGGCACGTCTAGGTGGCGAAATGGCGGCGATATGCGCCATAAATAATCGTCGTAAAATGCCCCGATAGCGATAGTCGACCGTCTATCTTGGAAGCTACATCCTGTTCGCGTCCATTCCATCGCGTGCTACGCGGTTGTGGCTGGGGAGCGGAGGGGGAACAATTGTCTTCATTCTGGGCTGACTCGCAGCAAAGATGGATGGAGGCAGGGAAGGGGAAGATGGAAGGAGAGAGGGAAGGGAGGATGGTGGAGTGGGAGGGAGGATGGCGGGGAGGGAGGGAGGATGGTGGGCAGGGATGACGACTTTGGAAGACGAGATGGACGGCGCACGGCCACGCTCGTTTCGGTGTTGAACCCAGGAGGTCTCGCGTCGCAGGTTTTCGGCACTCGTGCTCTGCCGTCGCATGAAGCACGCAGCATAGCTCCATTCTTTAAAGGTTCGAGCACAGGATAGGGATGTCGAGAGGTACTTTCGCCCATTACGACATCCCGCATCGAGCAAACGAAAATAAATATGCTTCCTAATAACGCAGCATCCACGGTAAACCCCCCCCCCCCCACCCGAGCCTCTTAGAACCATCAAGTGTTATCGCACAGAGCCCCTTCAGCTTCCTGCAGTTCGCTCTTTCCTCTTCCCTCTTCTCTTGCGCGGAACGAGTTATTGAGCCGCTTTCGCATCGTGAAGCCGAAGGGTTTCCATCGATCCTCGACCTCGAGCCAAACGATAAAGGACTCGACGCCGCGCGTCGAGTCATCTCTACCAGAATCGATTTCCTGCGAAATCGACAAATTCGGTATTCGAAGCGACTCGGAATCCGGAAAACCATCCCCCCACGGATGAAAACCATATTTTCCATGATCGTTTCCCAAGAATATAAAAAGGACTATCCTACCTTCGCCCTGCTGAAACCGCGAGTGCGCCTCCTTGGTGACGAAGACGAGGAGCAAGACGGCGACGAAGGCCATCCCGATGCAGAAGGCCCCGACCTGGCCTCTGGTCTCGAACCGCGGCGCCATCTCGCCCACGAGGCACTGGCGAGGGACCCGCCGTCGCTTTTATCGAGCGGGGACGGGGGCGATGGCACGGTGATGTCACGGTGATGTCACGGTGATGGCACGATGATGGTGCGATGAGGGTGATAGTGCGAGGGTCGACGGTCGAGATGCATCTGCCCCGGCGAAACCGAATGCGGTCGATTTCACTGATTGATGAAACTTCGGGAATCCATCAACCGAGTCGACGAAATCCTCAAAGAAATCAGAACGGAACGAATGAAGAAACCCGATTCGAATCTATCTCGTGCGAACGGCCGCATCGCCCATTCCCTCGTTTGCGATCGTGACGATCGAGACTCCCGCGGGAGCGTATCTAATGCAGGAGTGCGTGGGGACGGCGCAGGTGACACTCACCTACGTGGCGGATGAGGATGGGGCGTCTTCGATTTTTATGCTCTGGAGGGGGATGGGGGGCGTCTTCGATTTTTGCGCTCTGGAAGGGGGATTCGTGTTCTCTAGACAAATTAGTGGGAGTGATTTATGGATTCTCAATGACGAAAGTTGAGGGTTTCTCGTAGGAAATGCTTAATTAGCAGGACCAGTGATTTTCATGTAAAAATTTTTAACGCGGGGAACGAATGGAGTACTGGGGGAAGAAAAATTTAAGGCGAGAAACTATTGTATTAGTCGCGTTGAATGCGTTAGGTGAATGGGATTAGCGGAGGTGGACTTCATGCTTCTTCAAATTTACTTGGCACTTCCCGGATTAACCCAAGCGGAAAGGGATTCACAACGGTAAAGTTCGAAGGGTGCGAAGTCAATGATTCAAAATTAAAGGGAGCAAATCCGAATTCACTGAATTGTTCGCATAAAATAATGAATGATATGGAACTCACGATTTTTTTTCCTCCCAGCGATGCTGACAACGATTGCAGACATGCGGAGAAGTGAGACGTGTCTTCCCGAGTCAGCGAAACTCTTGATCAGAGTTCTGGACTCGGTGCGACATCTGCACTCTAGAAAAGGAAGCACACTCTGCACCTGACATCTGGCGTACCGGGAGAGAAGCGTATTGTTTGCCTCCCCCATGAGACACGTCACGTTCACCATTCATGTCCGCTGCCCCCAGTTCGGCAATGTACTGAGGGGCGTGCAGCCAAGAGGAAAAGAAAGCCGGTGTGCTGCAGTCGATCGACTTTCAAGCGCCTTCGTTCTCCGTGCCGTCGACCTCGTCTTGAGTTGAGCAAGGGTTTGGCCTGAGACGAGCATCATCATGAATATATTCAGGCTTGCCGGGGATATTGCCCATCTCCTCGCCGTCATTATCCTCCTGCTGAAGATTTGGAAGTCCAGGTCTTGCGCCGGTGAGTATTCCGAATTAAGGCGCTGCTTTGACCGAGGCCCATCAGTTCTTGAGGGTCAGCAGGGTTTTGGATGATTACAAGTGACCCTAGCGTAGACCATGATCCTATGGGAGGCCTCGGTTTTGCTTCAGTTCATTTTGCATTCGTAAATTGTAGGCCTTGACCTCCCTGCAGGTCAAGGCCGAAGACGAGGCCTGAAAACGGACGCAAAGTTCGCTACGTCATCGATTCAATCGTTTTTTCGTTTTTCAGGGATTTCGGGAAGATCGCAATTGCTGTTTGCCATTGTGTACACAACAAGATATCTCGATCTCTTGACCAACTTTGTCTCCATCTACAACTCGGTCATGAAGGTAGTGTTCATTGCAGCATCCTATGCCACCTTGTACCTCATGTACATGAAGTTCAAGGCCACCTATGACCACAACCATGATACATTCAGGTGAGATGAGATCCTCCCGGGCCCTGTTCCGATCAGAGCGCCTTCTTTGATGAGCAGGACTCTTGATGTGTTACTAAAGCAAAAATATTGATTCCTTGCAGGATTGAATTCCTTCTCATCCCTGTGACTGCGTTGGCACTGCTCGTCAATCATGAGTTCTCTGTGCTTGAGGTTGGTGGCATGGTTTTCTTACCGTCTTTTATGTTTTGTTCACTGGAGTAGAAAGAAGCAAATTGATCTGCTCCTTAAGTTGTAGCATGTAATGTAATGAAGTAACATCATAGGAGGGTTTGAAAATTTATGATTGATGCTCTAGTACTGGCACTTTATCATTCATGCTCAATGTTGCTCAGGAGCAGAAACAAGGAAGACCTGGGCATGAAGAGAGGATGAGTGGTTAGTGATGGTTGAAATTTCACATTTGTTTTGCTTGTTCCTGAGTTTAGAATTTCATATGTTCTATAAGATGAAAAGTGCCAAGGACTTCATGAAGACCAGATTGTTCTTTGCTCTACATATAGTTTTGTTTTTTTGGCAGCTTTTATGAAAGAATGTTTATGATATGATATGAGAATGAAAGCAATTTCCTTTTCAACTATTATCATCTTAGCACAGAGGTACCAGTTAAGCTTACTCTCCATAATGTGGGGCCTGTCAGTGTAATTTTATTAAATGGATGGCCAAATAAGGCCTTGCCAAAATATTGTCTTGATATTTTAAATTCACATTTAGTTAAAGCTCTCACATTTCAAGCGAAGTTCTAAAAAATTGAAGTCCTTCATATTACTCCTGCCCAAACCTCAAACCACACCCAATGAGGCATCAATCTGCCTCATCGTGGCATGCCAGATGGGAAATGCTACTTTACCGCACAGTATCATCCTGTATTAAGGAAACTGAATCTCTTGTGCAGATCCTGTGGACATTCAGCATCTATCTGGAGTCGGTGGCAATCCTCCCGCAGCTTTTCATGGTATCCAAGACAGGGGAAGCAGAGAGCATCACATCCCACTATCTCTTTGCTCTCGGTTCATACCGCGCTCTGTATCTTCTCAACTGGATATACCGTTACTACTTTGAGGGATTCTTTGACCCCATTGCTGTCGTGGCCGGAGTCGTCCAGACAGTCCTCTACTGCGACTTCTTTTATCTCTACATCACAAAAGGTCCAAATTTTCTCTTAATTTCAAGTAGTATAAGTAGTAGTTATGGATTTCAATTAAAACTAGTTTTCCGTGTTTGTTTGCAGTATTGAAGGGGAAGAAGCTCTCCTTGCCCGCATGAACCAGTGAACAAAAGGGGGGATGGGGTACTGAGACACTGTGTGCATTAGTGGGCTGTACAACTGTGTTCTGTTATTCCCAGTGTTGGCAGTTGTGGGCCGTTTGTCCTTATTTCAATCAAATCGTTGATTGAGAAATGTTGGCATGCAACATAGAGGAGGATTCTCCTCTTTTCATCCATTCTCTTTTTCTGCCCGTCTTTCTCTGTTTCATTTGTGATTTATTTATCGCACGTTATTTTGCTGTTCTACCAGAAGAAATTCCCTGGATTATAGAACGTCAGTGATCCATGTCTATTTGGGGTCAAAGATGATGGACCAGATTGGAGAGCTTCCAAAATGCATTTTTGGCATTTTCCTTCCACCTGTGATGACACAATCTTTTTCCTTTACAGACACATGTGGAAGCTAGTGTGAAAGTGGATGGGACAATAAATAATTATAGGGGGAAAACAATTGCCATCGAGCTGCATGGAACTTTGTGTACTCAGGCATTATACTTTCACAATAATATCTGCTGTTATTCAGAACACCAACTGGTATTCCTTGTGACAAAGCAACTTGATTCTGCAACATGATTTAATTATAGAAAGGGGTAATTACAAAAAGATGTAAACTATTGGAGTGGGTAACTTGTTCTTGTTGGGAGAGGCCTTTATGAGCAACAAATCAGCAAGAAAGGCATCACAGTGAGTTTACTTGCAAATAAGTTTTTCGATGAGGCCCACCACATCGCTCACATGCACTTGCTCCTGGAAAAAAAAAATAATCATGGCATAATATTGTCAATTAGCAGAACTGATTTGTGCTTTGACTATGCATGTCACATGACAGTGTTGAGCTTATTAAAAAAAATTACAAACCACCTGCTAGTATATATCTCTGAAGGGCTATTCATATAAAATGTGGCTGGGGGAATTGTTCCCTGTTATCCTGCATATTGTCCTCAACAACATACCAAATAAAGGTGTCTATTTCAGAATTCCCAATAGCAGGGCACCTAAAGCCAGGCCTGTAAAAACTGCATAGACATTGGAATTTATAACACAAATGAATGAGTCTTGTGACAAACATACTTTGAGTGTGGTATCCCGACTCCTCACTTTTATGATTCCAGTGCTCAGTGTGCCTCTATCTAACATCAGGACCAGCGGGATTCCCAGTTCATCACACCTACAGTACAACATTCAACAACACTGTATGATAGGAATAACCTAATAACAAGAAGGAAAACTGACTATCATAAACACCTCTCACCTGTCCCAGAATTGACGAAAAGAGTAGTTGCGTGAGGCATTAGGACAGTTGAACACTGAAATTCCTTTCACACGAAGATCACGAATGAGGCAGCTAGACAACCCCCTCAACTCCCCCTCTGTCTTTTCCTTTTCAGATTCTTCTGCAAGCCAGGTACATGCTTCAGTAAACTGGGTTCCAACAATTTAATGAATGTGAATGGAAAAACTCAACGCTACAGAGCCAAATACATTTCCAATTAAAATGTACCTGGCTCTTCAACCCACTGAGGACTTTGTACAGAAGATAAATCTCGTCTAGTACACAATAAAAAATAATAAGGAAACCCAAATGTTAGGCAAATGAGTAAAAAAAAAACTCAAATGCATTTACTAAACTTAATTGAGATTCCATTCTCGGGAAAAGAGCAGCTCCATCTTAAACCTCAAATATTAATATTGTTTACATTTCAATGTAACTTGCAACTCTTCACAAAGAACACACCAACCAGCATGAATACTTCAATGAAGACACAGGGTATTGGGAAAAAAAAGTTAATGAATTTGAGTTCCTGTAACTTAGGAAAAACTTGAATCAAATCTCAATCAATTTGGCAGAAACAATTTGCTTTTTTTCACTTCTAGTGTAACATTTCTTTAAATCAATAAATTCTGATAGAGGTTGTGATCGATATTCTGAGACAAGGTAAAAAAATGAATATAGACTGAAGTTCCTCAACAGTTCAATTAGGCAATGGAAAATAATGTAAGCAAAAATTTGTTTCTCAATGCAAAAAATTCAGGATGACATGAAATTGACGTTTGCAGAATAAAATGTTTTTGAAGATGTATTTGAATTGCCACCATGTGTAGTGTAGTGCTGCTGTGGATCTTCATGGAAATTGTCAATTTTTAATTTCTGACTTTCTGCAGAACATCAGTAATAACTTTAACCAGATTTTGGAGCACTATTTAAATATAGAGAAGGAAAAAGACATGCTTCATTCTCATCGAAGTAAATGATGTTTTATCATAAATTCCTGAGATACAGTAATACAAAGTCATTGGTCTTCTTTTTATTTTGCCTTATCCTGTACAATACAATAGATGACTCACCAGATGAGTCATGGATGATGCTGACTTTGAAAGGAGCAAGGTGATGATGGAGACGGAGGTAGTGGCACCCAGCTCTCTCGCAAAATGCATCCCAGAGGAAGTGAAAGAATGCCTTGCTCATCTCTGCTTCTCCACTTATCACTCGAGGCATGGCTTTTGTCCCTCCCTGAGAGATTGCAAATACAGGGACTGTGTGCATACCTCACAGAGTTATGAGATATATTGACTCACCAGATGCTCAATGAACATCTCGTGTCTCTCAAGCAATTCAAATGGCACAAGTGAGACTGTTTCAAGGACCTCATTTTTGTCATCAAGCTGTCGCATCACACAGACCTGGAGAGCTCCATTGTCCTCTGACTTCATCTCTGACAGTGAAATATCACCAGGAGAATCTGAAAACTTTTGCAAAAAGATAGCACATCTTTCCTACTGAAAAAAAAAAAATTAGACATGACCTCATGATGACATGATTTCTGGGGCTCACTTTTCTCCACCAGATCTTTCGCTGTCGCTGCCACTGAGCAAAGAGTGGCATGGAAAGATCTGCAGGGACAAACATCTGAAACTGCATTTGTCCCATGCTGCTTAGCTGGAAGAATCTTGCTAAATCAGGTGGAGATGCATCACAGGTAGAGTCTTTCACATCACCAGAATTCTTTTGCTCAAAGAAGTTTGCAATCCCAAAAGGAAGACATTTGCTGTTGAGCTCAAAGGTGTCATGAAATTCAGGATGGAGCCCTATAAAAAAGAATCCATAGCACTTCAACAATGAGCAGTGTTTTTTCTACCCTACTGGCCAGATAGATACCTCTTGAGGGACTAGATATAACCCTTGAAGTAAGGTACATGTTCTCTTCTCGTGATGTCACCACGCTGTACACCCATTCAGAGAGAATATTCCTCCTGAGCAACTCCCCGACTGGTCCAACAGAGAGAGCAGTCAAGGCATTCTTCCCAATCTTTTCGTCCCACTCATACAAAGGTCTGAACAAGGCGTGGCGTCTGCAAACATTAAGTAAGCCTTTAAGCTTCGTCACCGTCGCTGTCATTTTTGCTTGCAGGTTGCTGCCGCCTCAGATGATAATCCTTTTCGGTGACTTCAAGAGGGATGTTGCCTGGTGGAGCAACAAAGTACTCCTCTTCAGTCTTGACTGCTGTTGCCAAAATACTTTCACTGTTTGTTTCTTCAACCTTGTCTTCTCGAAGGTACAAGTCTCTATAAAAATAAAGTAAGCCATCTTAAAGCTACAATTAAATTGCCACAAACTGAGTAGCAAGTAAATAAGAAAGGAACTAACTGATCCTCTAACACAGATGCCATCGGCTCAATGCCCTCTAGTTCTGAGAGCTCTGGCATGCGATCTGCACATGCAATGGTATTCTCCACGCGTCTGACAGCTTCTTCTGATGCAAAATCAACTAGTGACAGTCTCTCCAAATGCTGAATTGTCTCAAAATCAATAAGATGCTCAGGTCCAACTGGCTGATGATGAGGCAAGTTTATGGGCTCTGAGGGAATCTTTGAGTTCAATCGTAAAGAGGAAGAACTGGAGAAAAAAAGGCTGTGACTTGTGATACAGGGCAACAAACACCTATCTCTGATGTGGCCAAAACCAGCTCCAAAGGGAGAGGCACTGATGATTCTAACACATGACTGCTGCAGGAAAGCCCTGCATAATGACGCATTCAGCATGCGCATACTGCAAACATGGAAGGTGAGAGGCACAATTGACACTGAATAGCATAATGTTGTAGTCTACATTTGAGACAATGATTAGGCGACATAAATGTGTTATCCTTCGCCGGGAGATGACCTGAATCTCAAATCCATTTTGAAAACCTAGGACCAACCAACACAGGTGAATTAATGCAAGCCTAAGCTTACATATACAATTTACCAATTTCAAAAAAAGCATTACCTGACAAGTGCATCTACAGGCCAACAACGCCACTTGACCTACAGCCTTGGAGGAGACCAAGCTCGACCCACCTACCAAAGCTAATCATCACCCCAGTTACTCCGTCCTGGGGAATGGATATTCCCGGGTCTGATGCTTCATAATAGGGCGGAGAAGATGCCCAGGTCCTGATGGGCTAATGCAAGGTCTATGGGCTAATGCAAGGTCTTTGGGCTAATGTACTGGACGAGGGTAAGACAGGCCCCTGAGAGGGCAGCTACCTCTACGCGCCGTGCCGACTAATCCTCATTGGTCGGTCCATCCATCCCTAGGCAATATGGCGGCGTCCTTAGAAGCACGTGTGATGTGAAACTCAAGGATCGGTTGGCGTTCATGGCAGAAACGCTAGAGAACTACGAGGAGAATTTGCCTCACAATGAGTTCGTTCAAATCGCGAAAGAAACTCTGAAGGACATTCTCGAGAGAGATCCGTATCTAGGTGACCTCCATCCGGACATTACGGTGGAAGAAGTGAAGTCCTTTATCGCCTTGGAGAAGGGTCAGGCTGTGAGGCTCATCCTCGACAAACTTGATGGCACCAGTGAATCTCTCGTCGTACCCCAAAACGCCACTGTTCGTGATCTAAAAACGGCCATCAGGAGAAGCACTGATCTCAAATTGGTTTGTCATTATCTGGGTCGGCTTTAACCTAAGTTCAGGGCCGGATTAAGGTCCAACACAAGATCCCATGGGGGTACGCACAAAGAAATATCCGAGACAAAAAATGTATGATGACCCCGCTACCGTTGCTCAGCTGTTACTTCAATATGGAATGGAGGGCCTAAAGTAGCGCCCAAAGAAATATGAGGGCCAAAGGCCTTTCGGTTAATATGCCTCTGCCTAAGCTTCATTTTGTTCAGGGTCAGGTTGGCTCACTGTGATACGAGAAACTTACCCAGGGTCCACCAGACCTGATGAAAACTTATGTGGAATTATAGTGAATGTTTATTTGGTACTAATGAACGTATACTGATATTGATTCCATGAGCACTTCTAAATTGTGTAAAATTGAAAAAGAATTGAGTAACTGTTGTGCCAGTATGCACAGGAGCCCAGAGGTTTTGGCTATTGTACGTCTTGTGAACACCATGTACACCCCGAGTTCGTTATGTGAACACCTACTATAAGCCTATGTGTACACCTTATACAGGGCTATGTGACCACCTCTCATAGGCCTGTGAACACCTATCTTGTGTACCCCTGTACACCCGACGTGAACACCTTCCCGTTCCTGCCCATTACCCTACTACAGGGTCGTCGTGCGACGTAAATGATGTATGCCGAAATGCATGCGCTAATTTTTATATGCAATGTATGTCAGTCAATGGAATGGATGATACATTGATAGTGGTCGTAGTGGTGATGTCACTGAGGGTACCGCTGCCATGTGTTGCTACTATTGCTATATGTGCAATACAGTCAACTCTTGTTAATCCGAACGCCAGTAGTCCGGATCTTCCGTTAATCTGGACTTTCCAGCAAAATACATATAATACAATAGAAAATAAAAGATTTCCCTGTCTTTTCCCCTTTTCTTTACTTTCCCTCACCCTTGGATTTAAAATAAATATTTAAAAAAAATGGATCTGCTATGCCTGGACGATGTTGATCTCACCCAATTTCGGGGTCAGCAAAAGGTTTATCGAGGATATCAGGAGAAGTGTAGCTGACGGGTTTGTAATCAGGCCACGAAGCACACCACGACACCTTCTCATCCGGCACGGGGAATCTCTGCACTGATGATCTTGGGTAAGAGGAATTTCGACATTTCGTGTGCATCGACGGCATCGTACAGGATCCGAAGAACCTGAGGCCCAATCCTAGTCCCAAAATATCGATCCAACTCCTGCGTAGACAGTAAGGTAAGAAGCGCTGCACGTGGCATATGGATAACGCCATCATTTTCAGGGTTGCGTTCACCAAAGGACCATTGCCTTTACCCAAATGGCTCCGTCTTGGTGACTAAAGCATATCGTCACTGCAATCTCACACGAGATTTTAAAAAAGGGACCAGCGGAGCTGTTAGCGACTTGGCAGTAAGTGGATATGCTCCCACAAAAATATCTATATTTAAGAGGGATTGGTCTACCATGAACGCTCGACCTCGATACGCGCGTCAAGTAGGCATCATGCACGGAAGCCAGACAGTCGACCGATGTGTCCGAATAAGCCTACGATTAAATCGTAACGATCTATAATATATTCTAGGCCTCCTCCACCCATGCTTTATACTTAGTACATGGCTATAGTCACAAGGCGAAGACTGGGCTTAAAGGATGGGTGTACACAGGGTGTACATGGTGTTCACAAGATGTACAATAGCCCAACCTACGACCGTCACTTTAGAAGTGAGTGCTGTTCTCAAAGACTCATGCGTAACATGCTGCCTGATGTAACAGTGAGCAGGTACACATAGACCAGAACAATGCTCAGTGTATGGGGACCATGTGTGGCCATGATTCCCATCCAGGAATGAGTAACGGCAGTAGTGTCATCTCGAAGGTGAGTAAATAAGAGTGGCTATATCTGAATCATGCACTGCCATTCTTTGGTGATTTGGAACAATGAAAGTCCCACTTTTGAAGCTGCATGAACATGCTTAAGCTTATATAGGTTGGTGTCACGTATCACCTTCCCAATCTCGGATGAAATGAAGGTGATAGGCCTGACTGGAAGGGAAAAGGTAATTGTGGGGGCAATCATACCTCTTCTACACCCGGGCGAAAAGGTCTACTGGGCATTCATTGTGCTTGCTGTTATATCAGGCAGCTTCCACATTGAATGTGGGAGTGGAGGTTCAGTCCTCATCAGAAAATAGTGTGTACATATGTTGAGGTTCATGTGCAGTGTTTACAGGATTTGACAGTGTGCACAGATGAAGGAATGCCTTAGTTAGCCATCAGGAAAAAGGGAAAGTAAAAAGAGTATGAATGAATATGATTTGAGTGAATTGGCCCTATTGTAAACAAGAGACTAGTATATGCAGGACTAAGTCTTAGTGCCTTTGTTGGAAGCAAAAAGAAGACATACTAGCTTGGGCCCATTCATAGGCATAGCCTATCAAGCCTGAGGAATTATTCCCTGGCCACCAATCCAACTGACCGTATATGAGGGATTCCTACTCCACCCTGGAGTATCTTGTAAACTTTGCTCTCATACAAAAGCTGGGGATGCCGGGCTTTTGTGGCCTCCAATTTCACAGCAACCTCCTGCAAAAGAATACATTAAATAATTAGGCCTAGGCTACCACTACTGAAGCACTCTAGGTCTAGGCTAGGTCTGCCATAAACAACAAGAAAGGCTATTGCTATTTGGTGGTAAGGGTTTGGGCAAAAGAATCATGCAGCAGGATAGGTCTAACATTAGGCCTCGCATTAATGTCCACGTTGTACGCTGACCTCGATTGGCCTACCCTCCCTGAGACTGCTCAATCACGGGTAGTCAATTCAAAAGAAGGATTAGGTCTATCATTTAACACACATGAAAAAGCGTAACTCACTTCTCCATTCGTAATGTTGATCCCGAGGTAAATGTCACCAAAGGATCCACTGCCTATTTTTCGAACAAGTCGATACTTTCCACCAACAATGAACTCGGCTCTGGAACCTCCGACGTTCGCAGCAGCCATTTCCAAAGCGTCAAAGCTTGTTAATCACAGCCAAAAAGGTAGAGACATGAGATGATATCACTGAGAATGTCACGTCTTTGGAAGGGGGATCAAGTTGGTGGAAGCCGTCGTAGTCTATTCCTCATTTTCGCCACTATCACAGCTGAGAAACAGTCGACATTTTGGTTGCGCCATAGCTGTAAATGTGGCAACGACCGACTACCGATGCCACCAAGACTACTCGGGAGTATCCTCCCTTTGTTCAAATGGTGCCCGTATGTTACAGAATACGCGTAAAAAATCACAGCAAATTCTATTAACATTTTACATCTTCAAGCATACACAAAAATTGGCACAAATTAAAAGGAGGAGGGACGACAGAGCCTTCGACAAATGACGAGGATGACCAAAAGTTCATTTCCTCCAAAGCCTCTGTCACTGTACCGTTTTGGTATCTGCTTCCAATGAGAAAGACTGAATGCAATGGTCGACGATAAGAGTTTCTGAGTTATTTCCCTCATATAACTCAACTCTAATTCGCCTGTGTGTGTGTGCTCGCAGTAATTTAATTCCGCGCAGGGGCAATTAGTCGGACGGGGACTATACAAGTTGCGTATTGCCATGTAACGCATACCCCGTACATAGGGGTGAACAGATGGAGCTGTTGAGAAAAGTGAATAAAACCTCCCATCTTATTTAGATCCATTTTTAGCGATAATGTCATGAAACATAAAGAGGCTTCCTTTTTCCTCTGTACCCAGTGCGTGGAGTGACATCGGCTCAGGTGTAGCGGATGTAATACGGTAAAACAGGTGTGAGAACGAGGGGCGCAGAGCGGAAATGTGACCGGTTCATGGTCAGGCTCTGCGTTTCCACCCATCATGAGGGCCAGCGTAGCCTTCCGCCATGCTAGCACAAGAAGGGATCCTCCCCTTCAGTGATTACGCGATGAGTTCACACACCCCTATATGGACTCTAGCGCTACTCGTATTCCGACTCTAGGGACATCTATTGAATACCAGTCACGTTATATGAAAGACCGGAAACCTTGCTTTCCATACGTCAGTAGACCTATAGTAAACACTTGTTCGCATTTTGAAAATGTGTGAACTCATAGCGAAATCAATGTGACGATCATCAGGTCTCATTGCCGCCTTCTTAAAAACTTTGCAATGCTGTCAAGCTTCAGTGTAAAGACTTCTTATTTTATACTACACTTTCTTTTCGGGACTGGGAATATTGCGTCGCTGCTCTCCTCAGTAATAAAACCTGAAGCGTACTCTGGACCTGTCCAACATGCCCATAAACCCATGGTCATGCAAGCCGTTTGCAAGCCTTGAATGAAGTTTCTAGTCAAACCAGTTTCATGATCCACAGACGAGAAATAGTTGGCCTTCATCTTTCTTGTCGTCACCTGGCTCTTAGCTCCTGTTTCCCATGACAACAGAATGTAGCTGTTTGAGGGAAGGTTTAATTTTGAAAATTGAAGTTCAGGGTACCCTTGACATCAATTTTTTTTTAAAGACAACATCCACATACACTTTCATTTTCTATTTTTTATTCAAAAAAATAACCAACAAGGCATAATAGCTATAAAAGAAAGCAGTCATACCTAACCTAGTCAAAAACCTAACCATGATCTGTGTGAAATTCAGTATTTACAAATGAGTTATCCCTGGACAAGGCTTGAGACTGATGAACTAAAGGAAGAAGTTCATGTTTAAACAATGGGTGCTCTTCTCCATGAGAAATCATGAGTATGTGGAATGCTTCTTGCAAATGAGATGCAGCAAAGCTCAATTTGTTAAGCTCCATCTCCAACTTCCCAAGTCTCAAAAGCTGAAGGCCCAACAGAGGATGGTTTTCACTCAGGTATGATCTGCAATCATAAAGTGATGGAGATGTGAGCATACCTTCCTCACATTATAACAAAAGACACACTCAACTCAGCCATGCATATAGGAAATAAAGGTGAGGTATTCACCTATAAGCTTCAAGAGATTCCAAACCATACTGATGAGCTTCTTCCCAATACTGAAGTGAAATGGCAGCATCAAATGCAGAATCCAATGCTCTAATATGGAAAATGTTGAGATGGTGGAAGTAATGTGACTGTCGCTGCAGACACAATCTAGAGCAATCCAAATCTGGAGCCTTTGATAAAGGAAGAAAATTCAATACTACAGCCTTAACTGAGATGTCAAACGTGACAAGAGACCAAGAGGAAGAAAGGTTCTCAAGCACCCTAATACTCTGAAAAGGACATTATTAACTCCAGCACATAGCTTACTCATACAGCATACAGCATATTGCACATATACCTAACAACACATATTTTAATAAAAGTTGGTATGCAATGAAGACTCCATTGTGAACAGTACATTTTGGTGTTTCATAGCTCACCTTGTGATATTTTCACTGACTCAAGAAAGCCCTCATGCACTTTTGATTGACTTATTGCAAAAACAACATGATAGGAGTCACTAAAAAAACATGGCAATGAAGTATGAAGCCAATCAGAGTAAGTGGTAAATCACAGAAACAAATGCATGATGCTGCATACTGTGATGAGGTGACACTAAAACAAAAAAACCAAAGCACTTTTTTTCAAACTTGGCTTTCTACCAGTGAAATGATTCTAGCCAACATGTATACAAAGTCTGAGCACCTGCAGGACAAATTGAAAACATTGCAACATAAATGCAAAGAAAACTGTTGAGATATAAAAGGATACAGTTTGTTTCCTTGTTCTTCATCTCATTGATCTGGAACTTAGAGAAGGCTTCATCATCTAAATAGGACACAACTTCATTTGCAGGAATGATATGCTGACAACGAGGGCACATAATATCTTCTGTAGGGGAGGACACAAGAAACATGGGCACTGGGACAGGACTAGGACATGAAGAACATTTCATTGATCGCATCTTTGCATCCCTCTCTCTGTCTGCGCAATAAAGACAATCACAGAGGAAGTAGTACATCTTCTGTAATTCAGCCTGCCTCTCCATTGTCGTCTGCAGGGTATCAATGTAGCAAATTCGAACCTGGTAGAAAAAACATCATGAGTCATTCCAGTAATCCTTAACTGGAATTACTGATAACCCCTTATCCATTTTAACTCGCATTAAAAAATCCTTCCTCGTTTTTCATGGTTCTCTCATTCTCTGCAACACTCTTCTTTTTGTCAGCAAACTGACAAGAGTTTGCCTGTTTGTGGGATGAGAAATGTGATTTAACATGGCAAAGGAAGAGATAAGAAGCTCTTTGGAAGGGTAGTTGTAAGTCAGAAACCTATATAGAAAACCACATAACTGTATAATTTTTCTTTCATAATACTGGATAAGAGGATTACTGAACCGTCTACTGTTTCTGCCATTCCCACTATGGCTGGATGCTTTATCCTTCATCAGAAGACATAGAGAAGAAAAATAAGCATGCAATATGGATGGAGATAAGAGGCATAACACAGGGCAATGGGTATTATACATAGGTATCCTAGAGTGAGACAGTTCTACAGGGTGTTAAGAAAGTTGTGTCCCATCGCAATATGCCCGTAACCTCAGCAACAAAAAAAATCAGGAAACTTTTTTTAAATGTACAATAACAAGAACACTTAACTGATTTAGAATCACCTAATAGTTTTCAATATTGCTGCCCATGGCATGGATGACAAGGTTCAGACGACCCATGAAGGCATCGACTGATTTTCGCAAGTCTTTATGTGGAATTTTCTCTCCCATTCTCGGTTCAGGGGTAGCTTGAGAGAATCCAAAGAACGATGTTTTGCAGCACACACTTTGCTCTCCAAGATGGACCGAATTGAAATATATAAATCTGAAAATTTTCAAGCCACTCAGCATCAAGGGGAGGCTTCTGTAATGGTCAGGATGGGGATTACTGCCTCTGGACACACGCTGCTCGTTTTCGTGCTGAACGTCAACTCTGAAGTATACCGGAAAAGCATCCAGGAAGACTGCCTGGTCCTGTGGGCCACAAATCATTTCAATGGTGGCAACTGGGTCTTCCAGCAGGACTCACCACCAGCTCACAAGGTGTGGATGACCCTGGAGTGGCTGCAGACAAATGTCCCTGACTTCATTTCGACTTCACAATGTACTCCCCCGATGTCAACCCCTTAGATTTTTCAATTTGGTCCATCTTGGAGAGCAAAGTGTGTGTTACAAAACACCATTCTTTGGATACTGTCAAGCTATCACTGAACCAAGAGTGGGAACGAATTCCATAGGAAGACTTGCAAAAATCAGTTGATGCTTCCATGGGTCATCTGAACCTTGTCATCCATACTAAGGGTGGCTATATTGAAGACTATGAAGTGATTCTTAATCAGTTAAGTGTCCTAGCTATTGTACATAAAATACTTTTCCTGATTTTGTTTTTTGTTGAGATTATAGGCATATTGCAATGGGACACAACTTTCTTAACACCCTGTAAAATGACCCAGGCAGGTAGAACCTTTTGAAGGCAGGATCCTTCTTGTAAATGCCCTTTGTGCTTCTTACTAGGATGCAGTTGATACTCAGCATAACCCCACTAGCTCACAGCCATGTTACATAAGGAATTGCTTTATCTTAGAGAGGATGAAAGATTCAAGTTATTTTTGACAACATGCAGACCTGAGAAAGGATTGCATGGCAGCAATACAGTTACATCACATGATACAGTTTGCAAGGACTCCTCCACTTGATCTGGATTCTTAAATAAAGTTCTCTCATAGCAAAATGTCACTAAATAAAACTTGGAGAGCTAGAAAAAGTTGAAGTCATCTACCAATATGCACCATTTTGTTGTTTAAAAATGAATAAGGGGTAACATACCAGAAATGTACTGCAACAAAATAGACATACTTTGTCCCAATGAAAGTCCTGCACATCGGTTATGGTACGAATAGTCAAGACAGGACCATCAAATATGGCCACTGCATTAGGAGCACATGAGTGGTTGATGATGGATGGAGCCAAGTAGATCCCTGTTCCAATCACCAGAAGCTCTCCATCCACTATATTGAAGCTATTGATGACTATCTGAAAATTAAACAATGATATTCAGCATGCAAGCTAAAGCCTGTCCACTCATAAAGGGACTCAAATTGAATGACTAAGTCATGCTTAACTGAACTTCCTATTTAAATGAAGAAAAGTGGGCCTGTCATAAAATTAACAGATGATAAATGTGGATATCTGCTTACTCTGCCAAACATGGTCATAAGTTCTGCTGGATTAGGGAGGACTTCACCAACAAGATATTCCTTCAAGACCCCACACACAGAGAGGAAATGTTCACATCTTTGTGTGTCTTCCTTTATTTCTGAACTATCTGAGGAAAAAAAATTTCACATTTTCTTCCCCACTCTACATTCATCCTTTGAATCCATTTCAATGTCTCTGCAAGACCAGAAGAGAGGAACTCACGAGACATGAGATCAGTGAATCTTCTGACCCAAGATGAAGAGATTGTCCCAATTTCCTTATCACCACCATTCTGTAACATGCAAGATCAGTGATGGAGGCAAATGAAAGAGGTATTAACTGGAGAAAACTGCTCCAGCTATGTCTGATACTAGCAGTAACTTCCACTGCTCAATTTGCTTGGTATCATAGTTCAATTTAGTGCAATTTAGTACCTTAGCTTTTACAACCTCTTTGTGCATGATAATATATATCATCCATGAGTCCAACTAAAAGTTAAGCAGCATTCTAGGTTTCAAATGTGTGACTCAAATATGCAAAGCCTTCTCCACTATTGTTCCTCATACAAGACAAAATTGGATTTTTGCAAAAAACCCATATGATCTGAAAAATACCTGCAGGTTATTAACATTTTCCAGTGCTATGCCAGCATGAAGTTGAGAAGGGATGAGGACAAAACAGGCCTTACTTTGAGCTTGAAGATGATTCGGGCCAAGAGGCGAACAAGATCAGGTGGGACCTTGGGCTGAATGGATCTGAGTGGTTGACATTCATACCTATGCAAGCTCCAATCCTTCCTTTGGCAATTGTCATCACAATAATGCATGAATTGACATCGTGAGCATCGCAGCAACCTCTCCTTTCTGCAGGACATGAATAGTAAGACACGGAACTCAGAGCTTTCATTATGTTTAAAACCTGTAGTTGAACTCACTGCTTGAGGCATGTGTCACAATGTTGACTGCGCAATCTCTGATTGAGGATGTGGACAAATGGCTCTGCACAAAGAATGGCAGTCCCCTTCTTTACTAAACCTTTCCAGTTTGTGTTCTCTCTCATCCTTGGACATGCCTAGGTCTACTACCTAGTGAGACATTACTGCATTTCCCTTCAGGCACTAATAAGGCATATCCACATCTGACAAAAGCCAAGAGGTAAGACTCTTGCCATCATTGATACAGAGCAGTAAGGAGCAAACAATCTGCAGTGGTTGCATACTGGGTGTATCATAACCTTTTGCTAGGGGCAGGACAGCATTTACAAGATTACATAGATCTGTTACATGCAACACACTTAATTACCAATTCTTATGTGACTTCAAATTTGTATTAAGAAATGACAATAACCAGCATTGTTGGTGATAGTAAAGAACAATGTGATAGACCAAATTTGAGCAAACACCTATCAAGAAGTACTGGAAATAGGTCTTGTTATTATTAACTCTTATTAATTGAAGGTGGTGTGATGAAATTTTTGATGGTTCAAAAACTGCATCACAGTGAAAGATGGTTAGGACAATTGGAAGAAAGGATATGACCCCTGTTTTGATGAATTTGCTGGAGGTAGGCCCAAAAAATTTTCTAAGAACAAGAACATTGTAATGGAATACAACAAAAAGAGATGAAGCAATAATCAAAGTTTATAAGGAGATCTTGGAGAGGTGGGGAAAGGTTAAGTCATCAAGTGATTCAACAATATCATGGGAGACAAGGGCTGAAGGCTTTTCAAGTAATTCCCAAGCCACAGAGGTCTGCAACAAGCATTTCTTTGAAAACATTGAAGACAATGATCCTAATCAACAGCTCTGAAGAAACCTGATTGCATTGGGATCTTCATTTGCTTCACTGCTGTCAGATTAATGTGGTACAAAAGAATGGTGCCTCATGGGACAGAACCTATTATTGGCAATCTATTGAGAGTGAAAATGCAATTCCATTTCTTTGGGATCCTGCAAAAGTAGTTTTTCTGCATGGCTATACCTCTTGCCACTGAGCAAATGTCACTCAAAAACAGCTGAAAGAATCTGGAATAGATTTCTTTGATTGGATTCAATGGCCAGAAAACTCCTCAGATCTGACTGGAGTGGAGCACTTTGGGGCAAACAAGGACAAAGTATTACTGATGATTGATGAACATAGGTAGTCCTAACCAATATTCCCAAGGACTCCTCATTCACACCTTCAAAATTGGGAATTTGCAGCAGAACTTTTTGGAAATTGCTGAAATCATGTCAACATTTGAAGGCAGTGTGTGAGGCTGGCAGCAGGCATACAACATTTTAATATATTCTTGTATTCAGGAAAAATAAAGCTTCAAAATGATGTATTACTTTTGCTGATATCATTTATCCTTTGGTCAGTATCCCTCTAGCAAAAGGTTTTTATACATCCCATACATTGACACAGTATCTTGTATGAAATTTCTCTATTACAGAAAAACCCCATGATAAAATCAGATGCAACTAAATTCTCCAAAGTCCTAACAATGTTTAATTCCTGGCTGAATGCCCATGTTAAAATATCATGTTTACATGAAACTCCTCCCTTATAGTGACATTTCTCACAGCCTCCGCCTCTTTGTTTTAACAGGGTCTTACTGTACTTCTAAATGCCTCTCATGAAAGGAGCATAACATACAATTTTATCCCTTTATACTTGGCCTGCAAAGCATATTAGATGAAATGAACTGCAGCATGTCATATCCACTGAATATAACATGCTAAAATGAATGGTCTTGCTCTTGCAATGGATTGGTTGATGATACTAACAGAATTCATTTTCTTCTGGTTGGCACTAGTAGTATATGCTTTCAGGAGGCATGAATATACTGTACTATAGTGTGTTTAAATTTCAATGACAAGATGGCAAACTATGATTGGTGATGAGAACACAGAAGAGGATGACCCACATCAGGCAGTCCATCCCATTTGAGAGATGGTGGGTTCTAGTTTCCAAGACTTGATGCCCTTAGACAAAGAGACACATACTCCAACCTGGTTTTCTCGAATACAGAATGCCTTCTTTCATCACAGAATGTAACATACAGCAAAGACAAAGCATCACATGAACAGAGTGACTAGATGTGAGATCTCCAAGCAAGATGGGGGGAATCACATAAAACTGATGACCCCTTCAATGATTTCAAAGGATTTCACCTTCCTGAAGGTGATGAAGGATTGTCTTCATTCTCTGAGCTAAGGGCATCATCTGAAACCAGGACAGAAACCAGATTTTTCCATTCAACAGAAAATAGTTACATAAAACTAATCCATTTCATAATCCTCATTCACACCAGTACTATGCTGCACTGCCTACAGGTGCAGCTGGTTGAATGTTCAGTATGATCCACCTTGTACCAGTTCTAAAGTTGGATTTCATTATTTCTACCATGACAGAACAAGAGTTGGAAAATATTAAAAAATAACTCCAGCATTAAAACCATTCAAATTCAATCTTTTTATTAGGTCAAAATTTGAGATCAAAACCTCCAAAAATTATTATTAGCAACAGTCATCATGCTGGAGAATGACATTGTTTAGAGGCATCAGAAAGCCATTGAGTAAACTGTTTACTCAAAAGACTTCAATTTAATTAAAAGCAAAGTGTAGTGAAAAGGTAGTAGATGAGGGGAATTTTATTGCAACTGTGAAGATCGAGTTTCAATTAATTGTGTCCTTGTTATTCTGGAAACAATTGAAAAAAAGACCCTGATGATTTCATAACTTTAAAAAATTCACATATTGGAAGCATCAATTGGTCAAAACTGATGGCCCTAATAGGTGGTTCAATCCAGTCAACCAAATTCCTTGCCAGCCCTCAAGAAAGTAGAAGATTCTCACCCGATGTTGTACTGTTGAAGAGCTGTGCCCGATCCAAGAGATTTGTCTCTGCATCATATGCACCCAAAGAATCATCCAGGGAACTAGTGTCATCACCGACATACTGCTTTGTTGTCCCTGCTACCATCTCCAGCCATTGTGCATTGTGATGCTTAAATTTGGCTTCCTGGATATGAGAACTCCACTCAGGACAGCACATCTATTGTGATTTACATAGTCATTTTTAAATGATGATCTGCTTGCCAGTGTCCTGCAGAGAAATAGTCAGAATCAAACTAAAAGTGCAATATTGAATGCACTCACTGCAACAACATCCAATGTAGAATCACACAGCTTGGAGATTTCACTGTTGGCATCATGCATGAGGTCAACAAGGTAATGAACAGCCTCTGGATACCGAGTAATGACTTCTGTTCTTATTTCTGAATTAGCCAGTAGCTGTTGAAGAAGATACATAATTTGCAAGACGACTTCATCGTCCTCTTGCTTGGCTGCAAGATGAATATTATAAAAAGTTTAACAAAAATAATCACAACCCTTGCAAACAAAAGAAGATTTTAGGGGTTGGTAATAATTACCATTCAGGAGGTCAATGATATCCTTCATCAGATGGGACTTCAGTAGAATGGCTGCAGCTTCGTCATCAATTATCACTGTCCCAAGGAGGATAACGATTTCCAACAGAACATCATCCTCACACCTCTCTGGAATGACATCACTAGCATGTGAAATTCTCACCTCTAAAACTAAAATAAGTTCAAAATGGGAACATCCTTGCCTTTGCCTGATATGCATCTCTGAATCCAATTCCAGAGGTCATGTTGATTCAGGAGTTCACCCCATTTGATTCCAACTCCATCCAAATTTCCAAGGGTACCAATGCATTCAATAACAAAGTCGTCATTTTGACTTCCTCTCAACAGTTTTGTCAATTTATCTACATAATTCTGTATAAAGAAAGAGACCATCAGATTTAATAGGATCACAAGACTCTTTCATCATGCTATTGTACTACCAGGCTTGGGCATTTTAATAATAAGGTAATAAGGTAAAAAAAAAAAAAACAGTATGCCCATGCAAAAGTACCAACTCACTCTGTACCACATCAAGGAATTTTTTTTCTTTAGCACCAGTTCAGAGAGTCAACCTCCAAAAACCTGGTTACCTAATACAAGAACAGTACTGGTATAAGCAAGTCACACAAACCAGGAACAGTTCTCTAGAAGATCCTTGATGTTGTGAAATATTTCGTAGAAGTTTCATGGAGAGGGGATCTTGATTTTTGAGGGTCATTTCCATGAGACTTTTGAATCTCCCTCCCTCACACATTTGCTGGGCACATTGCTTGTTGGCTGCCAGATTTATGCACAATGCCATTAGTTCAATATCAACCTGCTCTTCTCCACTTTCCACAACCATGGCCATCAGCTGAAATCAGAATTAGGATATAGAGATCCTCTTCATTCCAGCACTTGTAGACTAAGAAATATTAATTGAGGAGTTCTCTGGAAAAAGGACATAAGTGCCCATATCCCCTTTTCCATATTCACATCCATGTGCCACTTAAGTCATAGGATAGGGTGGACAGCAGGTGGTTAAGATGCATATTCAGTAAAGGAGAAGCCAATTTCCTTATGCTCTCACTATTCAACAGGCCAACTGCTGAGCAATTTCAATATAGCTGCCTCCATGGATATTCCATTAGCACCTACATTACTGAACAATTTGGTGGGAAAATGTCCTCCTTTCAAAATGAAAGAGAGAATGAGGAAGAAACCAGACAGGAGGAAAAGGAAAGAAAGAGACCCAGTCATCCAAGCCTCTGGAAGGATGTAAGAAGTTGGTAATATCCATGAAGCAATTGAAGATCCAATGATGAATAAATGAATACTGGATCACTGATGAGTAATTGGCAAATGAAACTTGTCCTGAATATTCACATTTTTATTGGCTTTCTTTGCAGATTTTATTTGAAATCTGGAGAAGTATTTTTTTGGGCAAATTATTATTTTTAACTGGAAAGAAGCAGTGAAAGACTGGTTGGAATAACTTGCAGCAACATGGATATGGAAATGGGCATATGTGCATAAGATCTAAAATATCATTTGATTGAAAACTGAGTTTTTATCAGCTTCCAATTAGCTCAGAGAAGTTTTTGCTGCTTATCTCAAATTTTATCTTTTGCACATACACCCTTGATCCAGAGATCTCCTCAATTAATGCTATGTAAAATACCAATTACCTTGCTAATTGTATCTGTATAGCTGAAGAGAGATTTGCATCTGTCATCCATGCTTAAATGGTATAGAAGACAAATGACCTGATGCTGATGGCTTGACACTCCTGAAAAATAGCCATATTTGTATTCTTGCAAGTGACTCACATACGTTCCATAGCTTATTCAAATCCACAAAAACAACTGTACCAAGGAAGTAAACTAATTTTGGAAGAACTCCAAGATGCACCATCTGATTCCTAACTGCTGTGTCAAATGAAAGGTTGAAGAGGAGTCGTATTGAGAGATTTATAACATCATCCTCTGGGTTATCACAGCACTCCATGATCTCCATCACCTTCTCAATGGCTCCACATGACACCTAATTCATGAAGAAAATCTTATAAGATTAATAATTTATTAGTTTTTAATGATATGATGACCCAAGTGAGATTCTCACACCATTTTATCTTTGTTCTCTTTGTAAATAGATAGCTTCTGAAGAAAAGTGAGGATGAGGGTGACAAGGGGACAACTGGCATGGAGATCCAATGATTGAGTGAGAAGCCCACAAATATTCTTGCTATACATCTTCTGTTCAATCTTCAGATCTTCAGAGAGATTCAGCAACAGATAGAAGGAGACTAAAGTAGGAATGCCATATACCATGTATCATCTCATCAATAGATATTTTAAATTATATCAATTTTAAATAATGAGGTTTCCAATTTTATATAACAATAAACATCAGTTTACTGAACCTCTCAAAAGTTGATTTTGTTTCTTCAAGAGAGCCATGACTTTCTTGGCATGAGTGACATCTTTTTTTGCAGAATCTTCAGCATCTAATTCTTGTGACCACAACTCCCTTCGCTGAAGTTCCCAGGTGATTATATCCATCACAAGTGAACCAACCTACAATCATTAAACCATAGAAAAAGCCATATGTTGGTAAGAACTAAGTCCTTCATAATATAATGGTGCCCTCAAGAGATGAAAATGCATTGCATTCTTCTCACCTTGTTTTCTTGAATCACATGGTGAAACTGTGAGAACACAGAGAAGCAATAGAAACAGTAAACCAGATTAGTTGTTAGGTCAATGCTCTTCTTCCAGTCTTCACGGAGTATACGGGCCAAGGCTACTATCAACACCTCTGCAACCATGCAAACAGCAAAAAACAAAGACATTACAGAACTGCAAAAACAACTCCCAAGCTGAGATGCTACATCACAAGAGTATTGACAATATCAGATGTAATGTTGGTGGGAGTGGTCTAGCAATATGGAACACAAACAAAATGAATTATTCTCACCATTCTCTGAGAACTCCTCTAAGTTATCTGGATTTCGCATCAACTGCAAAATCAGGCCAGAACCCTGGGTCTTCTGTGGAACATCCTCATACAACAGCTCTATGTAATTATCCAATTCAGTGAGATTAGCTGTTTCCTGCAACTCATTATATGGGCTTGTTTCACTCCAAAGACTAGGAGACTTTGCTGCAAGGCAGAAAAGAATCCCTTTTAGTAATTGATAAGAGGCAACATGTTACATGTTATGGGCTAGTATGAACCAGGAGAAGCATAGACCTACCCTTTTTGACTTCCCCCTGTTTGGCTTGACTCTGAGAAGTCAGCTTTCTCCGTTGCAGATAGTAAAGGAGCTGCTTGACCTCACCCGACCGACTTGGATGAATCAAATTGCATTTAGAGATGATTTCTTCTGCCAGTGAATCTATATCAGTCTCTCCTGTCAAGCTCTTCACTCTTATAATCTTCTGGTATTGCTGGAATTTGGATTGCAGCACTAATTCATAGAAGTCTTGGTGAAACATAGGGCATTTCTAAATATTCTCACTCAAGTTACCTTCCTGTCTCCAAGCATGGGATCACCATCTTCACCAAGAATCTGTGCCTCCAATTCATATTGAACCAAAAGGGCTTCTTCCACAGGATGCACATCAATTGAAGTAGCACGAATCTTCCTGCAAGGATATACACAAAAACAATACATAACAACTAGGTCTAAAAAAAAATTAGGCCTGAAATTGACTGAATCAGAGTCCAAACTCAGGAGACTTGGTTCTGATTAAGTCTACACTGTGATTAATAAAATCAGAACCACTAAATATTTTATTATAACTCTTATATTTATTAGTACTTCAAAGAAAATATTGACAACAAAGCCCACTTGCAAACATTCACCACTTGATGATTCTATCACACAGTGATATGAGCTACACAACAGTCTCAAGACAACAAGTAAATATCACATTTCTACTCAAGCAAAGAGGGATTTTGGGTCTATCACCTTGTGGTTAAACCTAAGCAGGTTCCACCACTGTGTAACTGAATCACCATGTACTTGAGAATTTGTTCTTTGGATTTTTCTTGGTTATATCAACAAGCAAGAAACAGGTTGTGGATAGGGAACTTCAAAAGATATCAATGAGATCTTCCATTAGAAATTAATGCACATAATACTGCACTGTTTTCAGATTGAATTCATACCCCCCTGAATAGTGAGTAATCACCAGTACTACTTCCAGAGGATCTGCTTCATTGGACAATCCAAAAACCACCCTTGTGGAAGGCATCACTACCTGCAACTGATGGATGAACTTCAATGGGGGGGATAATGTTAAAAAAAAAAAACCATACAAGCTACCTTAGGTATATTGGCTTGGTTATCACTTTAAGGGGATTTTTGGCAGAAAAGCCATGCTTATGAAGTGGTGAATCATGAGTACCTTTTTCCCTTTGAAGAGGGCTTTCAGAATGGCTATTTACCAATAAGGTATAGTTTCCCCAACTGATATCTTTAGGTCAGTCAGTGCTAATGAAGAGACTCCAAAATGGAAGAATGGACCTCTCAACCTTTTCTCATAATTTTTTTTTAATTTGCTTTTTTGTATTAAAATGTGGAATAAGTCTCGACTACTGTGTTGCATACAAGTTAGCCTTGGTCTAGGCCGACTTCTAATCCAAACAAAGTGAAGCCTAATATAGGATACACTTGTCAGGATTAGCATCCGAAACAGCGTCCGCATTCCCCAAAACTAACCTTTTCAAGTATTTCGCAGTTTCTTCCAGATCGCTCATCGTGTATGCCGTCGGGAAAACGGGAGACCTGGAATCACTACCAATTTCACGTGGTAGCCCACGTGGATCGGAGCCTAGAAGTAACTGGTATAGGGCTCGCCCAACATTTTTGCCAAGTCGAATTCTTTGGAAGCAACAGAACAATGGAATTGTCTGAGCCTCAGAGACAACCACAGAAGCAAAGCACAGAATGCGCAAAACGTTATGTTAATGTTGTTCCCATAAAATCAATACTCAGCTCAACTTTTACTCATAAATGAGCCTACCTAGACTCCGCCTAGCGCTCACTTCGCTCTCACGGTAGATCCAAGTGGCAGTTGGTTTCAAACCATCAAACTAGATGACAGGACCATCGGAAAACTACACACAGATCCAGATTGCAGGAAACCCTTCTCGCAGTTCCCTGAGCAGTTCTCGAAGCGATTCTCGGGGCAGTGAGACGTTTTAAACTCTCCTGCTTCCTGCCTATCACTTCACGACTGATTCTAGTTCATCTCATCCATATTCATCTTTGCCCATTATGAACTTAAGTTCTGCTCATTCCAAGCATCTAACTACATACTAGACTCAGAAACCGAATATAAACTTTGCCATGTGCGCCCGGATGGACAGGACCATCAAATAGGATGTCATGTCTTTTGGGAAGAGGTAGTGACACCTATAGGAACTCACATTTTCACCAGTTAAATTCCTGCTCAGTACTTTCTGGATGATGAATGAGTACAGGGTACTCGTGGCAGCCCATATTCCTTTCGTGCATGAATTTTTAAAGCAAAACATAAATATGCCTTTTTTTTGGTTTAACGTTGAAGGGAATACTCTGCCGTAGTAGTCGAATGTTCCACCGCTCGAAAGCAACACTGAACAGATATGTGCCCTTGAGTTGACTGCATGCACCAAAAGTTTCGAGGTATGTGTACCATGGCTGAAAAGCCATCATCATCGCCAAAAAGTTTGCCGTTCACTACAGTGGACATCATGCACGGAAGGGATATGTATACATATATTTGTTTCATATTGGGGCTTAATGACTTTATTTTCATTATCGCTGACATTCACTGTTTCGTGTCCCAAATCACCCCGTCTTTCCCGCAACTGACAAGTGACAAGTGATTGTTACTTGTAACACGTCGTTTCATTTATGTGCAGGTAATACACATGGATGTTGATCCTTCTTCGTCATTTGCCAAACTGGCTCCTATAACAAACCACATTGGCGAATTATTGGAGTTTTTTCCAATGCTCCAAGCCAGGGTTCGAAATTCGCAGGAGCCCAAGGACCCGAGACATCAAGATATTAGGTCAAATGCCTGTGCATCACGGCACCTCGGGAACCTCCACCTCTTGGACTCGCGCGAATTTCGAATCCTGCTTCATATACGTAGTACTAACGTGTCATTTCTCGGAGGAATATATATACTGTATATTTCAAATACACACATCAAAACAAATAAGGGACATTGTCCAAAAAGCATGGTTCTGCACAAGTCCTTGGGGTGATCTTCACAAAATTCACGCTGATGATATAAGACAACATGGGATATGTAGCACAGCACCGAGAAGGGATTCACTTTACTGCAACTCCCAAATGAATGGACCAATATGGCCTATTCCCCCAATTATATACTTATCTCCGAGTAACTTTGGCCCACGTACACTTTAATTTAAAGCATCTACAAAGTCGAACTTTCCCGAAGATCTCATATTCATGATAACATAATGTGATGGCAATCTGGGTCCATAGTCTTGAACGCCACAAACCAGAAGGCAGTTCTTGAAACAGTGAAATGGATCATATCCTTTTCCTGAGTAGGTTCGTCTATGAACTTGACCTTCATCAATACCGGTCTAGAAACCTCGTGATACCTTTTCTGGGCTCTCACTTCATCAAATTACGAAGAGTACATTCTTCAGGGCCAGATAGTTTTCTGAAGATGAAGTTCTATTGCGGATGATTGCATTGTTTATAGAAGTGAACACAATTTTCAGAAGTCAGTATTTTCTTTCGGTAATTTTCTGTAATTTCCATACCCGGCAGAATCTTTTATCAAAGGGTAAAAAAATTATATCCTAGAAAATATCAGGCAAAATATTGACACCTTGATTCCTTTCCCATCCACCTGATATTATTTACTGTATATCGGCCATGAATACTGTTATGATGTCACTGGAGAAAAAAGTGAGGTTTGAGAAAGAATCCCTACTCGAGATTGCACCGTGTGCTTCTAAACGCCTTATCCAAAGGCACCTTATCCACTACTTAAATAGATGGGTGAACTTATTCGCAATATATTTACGTCCTCCTGGAAATTTAAAATCCCTACCCTATTTCCGTTCATGGCCATGTGAAGGTGATCCTATACGATTCTCCCTCTGTCATTTGGTTCAGTTTGGCTCAGTGCAAATAGGAGACATGATGGAATGATTGAGAGAAAATGGATCCAGAAGAAAGGAATTTGTGGAGTTTTCATAAGAGTCCTCCCATCGCAGCAGACAATCATCCTCCTTCGGACAGCACAGAATCACGCAATACATCTATCCGTGATGTGCAAGGTATGCACCAACTTAAAAATGACTTCAAACAAGATTCTCATACAGGCTTTCGATTGACCTTCATCAGAAATACATGATTGCATGACGATGTTTCTTCCAGAAGCGGACAGCAGCTCTCAGGACGATGATTTGATGACAGAGAAAGTGGAGTTGGAGATATTAATCGAGGTGAAGAAAGCTCAGCTTGGGTATCTCGATGAGAAAATTAGGGAACGATCTGAGGCTGCCGAATCCACTCGAAAAATCATCGTGAGTTTCTAAAATTTTTTCACGCACTCTTGTGCATGCACACTAATAACTGACAGGGGATTCATACTCAAGAGGCAATATATCCATTTCACGTTCTGTGAACCTTTCCCTACGCGCGACCCCCTCATCTACATGAATGGCAACAACAGGAAGAACAGACAGAAAAGGAAAGATGCGGATGACTCCCATTGATGTCCACATGAGGAATCACAACTCAATCGTTTTCTTATACACGTATTTAATTTCTCGCGAAACAATGAGTAGGTATGTAACTGCTGTCAATCCATGGTGGTGGTCTAATATAAATATCACAGTTAACAGTTTTGCGCCTGCTTACTTATTTATTACAGTTTCAAAATAGGCATGAAATTTAAGCAACACAAGAATTTCTTCCCAGCAAGTTTTTTTTTTTTTAGATTCAACTTCGTTACTGAGCCCCCCCCCCCCCTTCCCTTTACTAAAATCTTCCTACGCTACTGTTTATTCGGTTTCTTTTCAACCCACCCTACATTCTGAAATTAACTCCTTGTTGAGCAGCAAGAAACAGAAAGGGGCGTCATTAAGAACTGGAGAACCTTTGTGGGATGCACAGAAGATTTTATGGAAAGATTTGGGGCACGAGAGAGCCGTTTGAAGGACTTGAAGGAGATGAAGGCGAAAATAGCTGCCATCCAGTCCGCCATCGAAATTGAGGAAAGACGTGAGTTCCCTATTCTTGCTTCCTTCCCGTCGATTCCGATCGCAACCGCCGAGGATGACTGTCTATTCGTGCACTCTCGACAGAAGAAACAGAAAGGCACGAGAGGAAGAAGAAGTTGGAGGAACGCTTAAAGAAGACTTTGGAAGGGAGGAGAAGACAATTGGAGGATTTGCAGACGGAAGTGGAGAAGTATAGGGAGCAGGAAAGGGACTTGGAGAAGCTTCGGCAGGAAAAAGATGCTCTCCTCCAATGCGACGATGAGAACTCCCCACGCGTAGTTCAGTAAGTTCACTACCGCTGCTCACGGGTTCCCAATTCTGTCAATAATTCCATATTCAAATTTATCCATTCAAAAAAACAACAACGCAAGGAGGCAATGAATTGAGCAAATCCGCTTCTCTCTGCGTTGTAACATAATTCCGATAGATCGTATACATCCTTGTTTACTCAGGACGGTGAGGTTTCGCTTCGCTTTAACAGTGTTGCTGTTATGAGTAGCAAGACTTGAGTTGTACAGGATTGGTCTAAAAAAAAAAAGGTAACTGAAACTACAAGATAATTAAGGATGATTTTTTTTTATATGCACACATTCGAACTGTACTTGGCATGATCCATAGCTTCGAAAATATTGTTCGACAATCCATACACACTCCTCAACAGAATATTGAGACATGATAATTATCCAATGTTTCCCTGAAATGATAAAATAATTCATTTTCGAAGCAAAATGAGATAAATAACTCGGGAACTTGCCATACAACCCAATCACATAATTTCGTGCCATCCTGTTTAATCAATTTCTCTTGTGAGAGTCATGAAGTTCTTCTGTTCTACTCTGGCTCGCACTGGAGCACACACACCACAACGTGTCGCCTCTAGGGATTCCTTTTCTTAGCTAAAAAATTGAAATCTACCCTCTCTATTGCGCCATCCTCCTGATGATCGCGCCATGGTATCCACCTCCAAGACACTGGAACCAATCAGAGATCACTCAAAGCAGACGGCTCCTTTCGTTTTGACCAATCAGAGGAAGGCTATGAGAGACGAAAAGTATGGCAGCGTGCATGGTGGCGAAACTTTGCATACGAGTGGAAGGAGGGGCCAACTAACGTAACGTGGCTATTAAAACTAATGTGGAATAGCTTCTGTATCTTCGACAGTGACGAGCAATCCTGAATCGAGATTCCATTTAAGTCCCCTTTCAGGAGCATTCGGAATTCATGGGGAGTGGTTGAAATCGCATTCGAATAATTAGTGACTCGATCACGGTGTATATTCGGAATTTCTGTAAGAAAATATTTCCAACATATTCAAATCAGACTCGAAGTCTTCATAATTCTTCCTTTTCTCATTCCCGCACTTGCCAAAGAGCGATCAGAATATGCATATAATGAGGCATATGTCACTAACCCCTTTTATATCCATATTCTAAGAAGTAGGGCAAAATGTCACATCAATAGTTTAAAAAATTATGCAAAATTAGCTGAATGATTAGAAGATTCTTTTGCTACTTCTGCAGCCGATACCAAATAAAAACTCAATAATACGTTTATCGATATTTTTATACGTTGAACAATTGCAAAAAAAATTGCTGAGTGACCAATCCACTATCTCCTTTGGGCCAGACACATTGGGGGGAAATGTTATATCCGCTGATCAGCACCATATTCTCAGCGTACGAGGTATATACGCTAGTGCCATCTCTCTAAATTACATTTTTGGATGAGCTATATACCAGGGTTACGGACAAAATAAGTATCATTTTTCACAAAATATTTTGATTTAAA